TGGAGTCCCCTTTCCTGGAGATATTCAAAACTTGCCTGGACATGGTCTTGTGTAACCTGCTTTATGTGAACCTGCTTTATGTGAACCTGCTTTATGTGAACCTGCTTTAGCAGGGGGATTGGACTAGATGATCTCCGGAGGTCCCTTCCAACCCCTACCATTCTGTGATTCTGTAGGTCTCTCATATTAGCCTGAGCTCTGCATGTACCTGCTGAGAAGCTTATCTCTGTCAGTAAATGAGGAACCAAGAGAAAGAAGTTTCTTAGCCTGTTTTCATGAATTACACATGTAAAGTTTTTTTTCCCACCATAGTTTAGCAGCATGATGGATAAGCTGAGTCAAATGTTGTGAAACATAATGTGCTGGTTTTGCCATGCATCTTTTTTTATGCAGTGTGAGTAGTCTTTTGATCATCTTGAAAATGTCTGTAAATAGCTTTTGAGACTCCGATGTATGCAAAGGCTGTTTTAGAGAGGGATGTAATTTAAAGTTCTTGGAATCTGTGTGCTTAAATGACTACAGTAATTAATAGTTATCAGAAACACTATTTAAAAAGATAATCTGAAAACTGTGTAGTACTCTTTTTTGTTTTGAAACAAGCCTTCTAGTTATAGTATGGTGAGTTCTTCAAAATGAGCTGAAAGTAATGTCTTTGATCAGGATTTTTATGGTAACTGAGGCACGCTGTAAATCTTGGTGAAAATGTTGCAGACATTGTTTTGCTCCCATACAGAAATCTGCACCTGGGTTATTAGTAAAGGCGTGAAGAGCAAAATACACTTTAATGGTTTAATTGTGCTTATTGCCCTTAATAGTAATCAAATAGAGATTCAGTACTTAAAATACCAATACTAAGCTCAAAACTATTTTGCAGCTTTAAGGAAATAGAAGAAGGGGTGGTTTGTAAATACATGCTTGTCAACACAGACTTGTCAGTCATTTTTGTCTTTGAGCTCTTTATCTTTCAATTTCATAGCATTTTTGGGTGAGGGGAGGTTTTCTGTGAAGAATCACTCCTGGCAACAGAAAACCAGCAAAATAAATCTTTTAATCAGTGAATTACAAATGACTAGTATTTCACCTATAGCTTCTATATTCTTGTCTTTACTTAAATTTTTTAGTCCCATAGTTGATATGCCCAGGAAGAGTGGAGTCTGCTCAAAAATCCCTTTATTTTTGAGAATCTATGGTGAATGTGCTTTTTATGAGAATAAAATATTTTAAACAGTTATTTCCCCTTTTGTTTAGCGGACTTGAATATGATGCACAAGCAAAATGAAGATGCCTATCATAATCCAGAGGCAAGACTATATGAAGATAAAAGGGCTGTTGTAGCTGTTGACCTAAGTTTGGCCTCGCCAAGACCTGAGAACACAGAAGCATCTACAAATAAAATAGCAGGTTTTTAAGAATACTGTATTACAGCTCTAATTATTTTTAGGTCGTAGTGATCAAAATTCTCTAGTTTCTTTACTCCTTTCTAGTAGTCCTATGGTAGTGTTAGTGCTCTCTACCTGTGAAATCAGTATGATGCTTCTTTCCCAAACTTCATTGCTGTCACTGTGTGCAATGAACATATATTTTCTTATCTGTCTTGTCAGTAATGATAACTAATAACTGGTTTAGCACAGAACAGTCAGGATCATTATAGTGGTTTTCCAGGGTCAATGTTAACTAATCATATCTTTGAACGTATTTGTTTTACCTTTAAATGACAGCAAAATACAATTGTATAGTAGGAGAGAAAATGGAATAAAAGGAGGAGAAGGGTCTGCAGATGTATGATTTACAGGTTAAGATGAAATTGGTACAGTAACTAGGTTAACAGGTTCTAAAAAGTTACAGGCAAATTGAGTACATATCCAGCCCTGTCCACTGCCTCCAAGTTTTAGGGATTTTATTTTCTTGTCCTATTTAAAATCTAATGCATCATTCTCTTATGTTTTGTGACACATCTAATGAGAGCGCTGTGGTACTCCGGAGCCATCACTAGTCAGGGATGGGCAAAGGCCAGGATCGACAGTGATCTCCTCAAGTCAGCTTTGATGCTGCTTTTCTTTCTCCTGTCTGAACTGTTGCGCTTCTGTATAAAGAAGTTAGATGATGTTTCGGGTATAGATCTACTTCCCCAGATTCCGATTCAGTGTCCTGACCGCTGGCTGTAGAGTCAATATTTTTGTTGTTCCTTCTGGCCCTCCTGTTGCTCTTTCTTTCTAATACAGTGTATATTTAATGATTTAGTAAGAAGTGAAACACATGAGGCCAATATAGTAATAATGCAGAATTGCAAAGAGCCCCCTGGTTAGATCACTTTGGGATCGGGAGGTGGTGCAGGATAGTAACTGGTAGACAGTAAGTTCATTCCTTGCTACTTTCCGTGGTAGCTTGTCTGTCCTGTGTCCATGCCTTTTAAGGGATGTATAAACTTTATTCTGCTTTTTTGCATGGAATATGTCTGCGTGAAGTAAATCCATCCTGAAAGAGCCACATGTAAATTTAGTTATATTTTGGAAGGATTCAAACAGTGATTCCATGTAAGGAAAAATAGTACTAAGCTCAAAGTGTACTACTTGGTTATGCAAGCATGTGCTCCTGAGGCTAGACTGTCGCAGTAAGCATGTGCATTCCTATGGGAAAAAGTCTGTGTGTTATTTCTGCTTTCATCTGACATGGGTGGTACATCACCATATAGGGAGATGTGAGGGGGGACACATTACAACAGCTACAGCTGTGTTTGTCTCATCTCAGTGGAGCTGTGGCATTTGCACATCCTTGAGCACTGTCCTTTGGAGCAAACATGATACGAAGAACATGCTGTGTCAGCTGAAAAGTTAACACAACTTACTCTACTTTTCCTTTACTTACTTTCTTTCCCCTCTGCTTCCTGTAGGGATCCTCTTTTGCAAAACTTGTTTATGTGGTATCTGAGTTAATCCTCCTATCTAGAGCTTTTGGGACTGTATGGTTATGACACATTTGTAACTCAGAGCTAAAGGAGACCTGACACTTTGAACTTCATAGTACAGAAGACACCTTATACTGGCAGAATTAAATTTTCTGACTGCTTAGAAATTTTATTTGCCAGTTTTGGGCTTTGTTTTTTGTAGCATCCATGGCTATTTTACCTAAATATGTATTCTGTTAGCATGTTTTGTTTTTAAAGAGTGAATAAACCTAAGGAACTGAACTACATGTGCTTCAGAATAATTTTAAGCAGTAAAGTTATGAGATGGAAAGTCTTTGCTATTCTAATTAACTTACAGGTAACATTTTAAGATACTAAAGTCCTGATTGGACAGTAGAATGTCTGGCTTTTATAGGTGTTATTTTGTAAAAAGACAACTCACTTGGACGTTATTAATTGAGCAGTTAAAACCTGATGGTATTCTAGGCAGACTACATAAGAACTTTTGCTATTGTTTTCAGCTATAGCCTTGAGTTATGGCTGTCATAAAATACCTTTTGAAACAAATGTCTCTGATTCCTGCTTCTTTACTCTGGCTTACTGTCTTAAATTTGCATTGATTTTTACCTGGAACTTTCTCCCCACCCCTTAGGTTTTACATTTGCACAGACCTCTCCTTTTGCTCGAGGTAATGTGTTTGGTGAACCACCATCTCCACAGCATCTTAAGCGACAAGAGTCGTACAAGAACTTTCTTCGTCTACAGGTGAATGCACACACCAGTTATCATCTGGTTAAATATGTTTTAAAAAGAGGGATTGCAGTCAAAGTAAATCATCACTGCTGACCAAAGACCGTATCCAATCATAGTCAATTCTGTGCACAAGAGGTGTACTGAGAGCTCTACGCTACTGAGTCTCTCTGATTTTGCCTTGCGTAAGAAATGCTTATAAAAGCGATGCTATTAATAATTGGCTTCGTTAATCTAGATTTTTGTCTTTCTTTTTTGTTTTGAAATACAGGTCTTTAAATAAGCATTGAGTTCTCGAACTGTACAAGTTTGTGTACATAAATATGTAAAGCAACAAAGATATTTGCCCTTGGAAATCTATGTGATACAAATGCATGTTCATCAAAATAATCAATGAGACAATAATAGTGTAGTTATTTATTAACGGGTATAATTGTGGCAGATCAAGGATTTTTCCATGTATAGTGCTGTCAAAAAGAATAAAGAATGGGGGGACCTTTGGCTTCAGTTGGTCAGCACTGTGTCTGAAAATATTATAATGGTGGAAAGGAAAAAGATAGTTGCTATGTCTTTTTTGTTTTGGTTTCCCGTCTTCCGTTATTTAATCAGTGAAGACAAGTGTTATTCCAGCACATTTGGAGTAGAGTGTTAGGAAATATTCAGGTTTTATTAGTAGTATTTATAATTAGTTCTGTAGGTATTGTCAAAGTCCATAGAAGCTCATGGTGGTGAATGTTGTTCATCAGATTATTGCTGGCCATTGACAGTTGAAATTTTCTTTGCTGTATTTTCTAGATTGAAGAAAAGAGATGTAGGGAAGAAGCAGAGAGAGAAAAACTCAGAATGGAAGAAGAAAAAGAAGAAAAACGACTGGCTGAACAGAGGATGAGAATTCAAAAAGCATATGAAGATGAACAAGAAGAGAAAAGAAAGAAAGAGGAGGAGGTATAGTATTTTGATACCTTGATTTTTTTTTTTCCCATCCTAAACTAACCCTTTGTAATATTTGTCCTCTAAATTAAGAAGGTAAACTGAGAAGTGTCCTGTGAATTGGTCTTTGTTTTTAAAAGAATCTACATTAGACAGAGGAGAAGTAGAAAATTGTATGAACTAGCACATTCTTCTCACTCTTTATGGTATGCTACCACTTGAAGTGCTGTTAATTCTTTTAGGAAAAATTGTATCATTTTATAATTGACAGTGGTGGTCTCCTTTATAGAAGAAATTGTTTGTGAGGGCAACAAAAAGCTTTGTTAAACTGGTGAATTTAAAAACAAAACAAAACTTTTTTTTGTTAGCCTTTTAAATCTAGTTCTTGTGGAATTATTTGTATTCTGAATGTAGCTATACAGGAAGATTTTGTAAAGTTTTTTTTTTAATTGGTCAGGATGTAGCTTTGAAGTAAGAATACTACTTGTTTTCGAAGAATGCCAAGCCAATCTAATATATTTCATGGAGGTAAACTTGTGATTTCGTTCAAACCCAAAAGCTTTATTTATCAGGCTTGGAAAATTGAATGAATTTGCATAATTTAGAATCTCATAAATAATTGTAGGAAAAGGACACAAGGCCATCAGGGATGGGGAAAAAAAAAATCTTTCAGTACCTTGCAGGATTGTGAAAGATCAGTTCAGAATCAGTAGAACTTCAAGATTTCTGAGACAGAACACTTAGCTTATATTCTAAATTCGCTTCTCTAGTATGAGCAGGTTAGTTGGATGAGTCTTGTCTTCTAGATAGTAGAGCTGGTCTAGTATGGAGTAGGAAGCAAACTAGTATCATAGCTTTTCACAGACACAAGACTAAAATTCAGACTGCATGATAATTTTCCCTGTGGGCTTGTGATAGTGGTGTGTGTGTGCAGTATGTTTTGTTTGAATTTGAATTTTTGGAAACGACTCCTACAGTTTAGCCTTAACTGGCAGCAGATCTGGGCACACAAACTGGTGTTTATGGAAGTTATTAGGAATTCTGTTAAATGATCTTAGCAGAACCGGGACTGCAGGTGTTTAATATTTGCATGGCATAGTTTTTAATTTGAATGTTTGAAGTCAGCCTAATGAAATATGCTTTTTGTTTCATACTAATTACTTTGATGTGTAATTTCAACTTCTCAAAGACAAAGCAAAGCTTTAATCATGTGGAGTGTTTCTCATGTACTAATGATGTTTATGTTACAGCGAAGATTGAAAAGTAAAGAAATAATTCGATTAGATGAAGAGAGGCAAAAAGAGGCAGAGAAAAGAAGAAAAGAAAAAGAAAAGGAAAAGCAAGATGAACAACTTAGACAATATTCTGAGAAAGAAAAGATGAAAGAGGAAAAGATGGTATGCTTCAGTGACTTTCTAAGATGGAAATACTTCTTCCTAACTTTAAAAAAATAACTGGATTTTAAAGAAAGTGCATGATTTCTTAGACCTTTGCTGTCAGCGTTGTTCCCTCTTAGTTTATCAAGCTACGGTGTACTTGGCGCACACCCAGAGAACAGCTGGCTGAAAAATCAGACATGCTACAGTGGAAACTTATCTTGCTGATCAAATTAGCGTTAAAAAATAGTAAAAACAAGATGAATAAGCGCAAGCTGCACTCTACAGTGGTTTTTTTATAGCTGCTGTGAAGTACTGTGGCTTGCTTTTGCTCAGGTCCAAATACAAATAAAAATAAAGTTATGTAATTTAGAGAACTGGAGGACTGTTCATCTTTAGCAATGAAGTTCTTTGCAATTTAGGTATTTTCCTTTGACCGGGATGACATAAGAAGACCATCATGTAGAATTCTGGTGGACAAAATCTGAGTAAATTACAGAACTGTTTCTCTTCTAGAAATTTCTACATGTAATTTCTCTAAAATGGACACATACAATGGCAGTGCCTAGGGGAAAAAAAGATATGTAACTTAACCATAAATTAGAAAAACCTACATCCTAGAAAAAAAGTATTAAAATTACTATAGGTAGAAAATAAAATCACACGAAATAATTTTGGCAATAATTTCATGCAGTTAAGAGTAGAAAGCAAATTAAATACAAAAATAAGTGAATTAAGATAAGTGAATGAAAAATATTAGCCAAGCTTTTCCTGTCCAAAATAATACTTTATTCAGAACCTATAGGAATGTAATTTGTCTTGCTTTCCTCCTTGCAGTTTTCAAGGCAGCCTTCTCCTATCATTCCTGCTCTTCAGAACAAATCAGTAAGAAAAGAAGAAAGGATTCCTTCTGCGGAGAGTCATATATCTTACTATACACAAGTATGGTTTTTATAGTCAACATTTACTGATATAAGACAATGCAGTGTATGAAATCCTACCAGCTTTATAATGTTTGCCAGTTATTACTGGAATACCACAGATAACTGGAGACAGTCTTTATGTTAGCCAGTCTTGTGGGTCTGAAATTTAATGCTCAATTTTATTCAAAGTATTGAAGAAATTTTGTTGGGGCATGCTATTTTAATTTTTTTTTCTGCGTGCACATTTGCTGAGATGAGCACCTCATTTTTGGGTGTAGATACTCTGTCCAGCTTACCAAGGGTCTAGCAATCTCAAGGATAATGGTAGGATGTCTCACATCTAATCTAGCAACTCATTGTGTTCACTCAGAGAAGAACTTAGCTCAGGCGTGAAGTTTAATGTTGATTCCTAGCTACAGACATCATTATTTTATCATTATGTGTTTGAAGGTACAAAAAGATTATAACTCCTAATACACTTCCCTTTCTTATTTGCATCATGAATGAGTCACAGTAGTGGTCCTGAGTGCATTCATTTCTTTCACTTGATTTAATGTTCCCTGGGACAATTTTTTTGAAAAAAAAATTTCTGCTGTGAAGAGTAGCTTAAATAATTGTCTATGATATTGGGAGTCTCAGGCTCTGACTTTTTGTTGGAATCGCTGGAATTTTTAATCTCTGACTTCTTATTGGAAATGTTTGTTGTTTTTTTTTTTACCAACTGTCTATATGAATTGGACTAAAAAATTTAAAAAATCAATTTGTCACAAAACTGATAATTTGGCAAAATACTTTTTAGTGCAATTTCAGAAAATGTTGTACGTAAGACTTTAAACCTTATTTAAAACTGTTGCTTTCCCAAAATGTTAAGAGTGCTCTGGAGGAAGGTCAGTTTATTTCTGTGTCTTTGCAGTACTTGGTATCGTTTTGTCTAGATCTTCGAATAGTGCATTATAGGTATTACCGTAGTAATTTGGATTATGCATTTAAAGATCAGATTTAAAAAAACCTTAGGCATTAACAACCTGTAAGGTTACTATTCTGTCTTCCAGTAGAATGATAGTTCATGTAAATTGGACACAAAATGAGGAAATAAAATGTACTAGTGTCTGCTACATTGTCTTCCTTTGACATATTAACATTTCATGTTCTTTATGATCACTAGGATCCTCCACAACCAAGGATTCCTTCTCCACCTGTCCCTGCTAGAAGAAATCAGTTGCGTGCATTTGGTAGGTATTGTCTTTACTGCAAGCTCACAAAATTGTTCTCAGTTACAGTTCCCTTTCTTGCCTGCAACGGAATAGTCTCACAAAATTTTCACTTCTGTGTGGCTGTTCTCTCTTCTTAGTATTATCAGTGTATTAGTATGGTATGTCTGACGTATTAATACACAATAAAAAATGCATTTCTTATGTGTCGTCTTCAGGAATTTTTTTTTCTAAAAACTCTGATAATGGAATAGTCTGCATGGGAGGTGCTGAATCTTTCAGTCAGAACAGTGGTGACCACTGTGACCAGCACATTACAAAATGGGAGAGTTTTGGATTGGCTGAGTGGTGGATTAGGCTAACAATGTGTAGAGCATTGCAGTCCTAACTTGTAATTAATTCTAGTTTCCTTTGTCACGCTGCCTAATCCTCTGCTCATTCCTCTTAAATTTCACTGATGGTTTTAAAATTCAGACATACTGGGAGCATCTTGGCAATATGTGGGTGGAAAGCACTATTTTTCTTCTGATTCTTTTTTACAAGTATAAAAGAAGCAACACGTGGAATGTAACAGTAAATAATGTCCTACAAATGCTACCCCCGCGCAGTCAGTACCTGAGCTCATTCTGGGGAGATGGGCTCTTCCCCTAAGTGGAAGGCAGAGTGGTTCTCAATGCAGCTCTTTGAAGTCAATTGACTCAGACATGTCATGAGAGAAACAGACACATAAATTAAATCTTGTGTTTGAGAATTTAATCTAGTAAAACTTCTTTGCTTGCTAGGTTCTGGACTCAGATTAAAAGTCAGTAAAATATCAAATTATTAAGCGTCTTATTTGGAAAATAAGGAATTTATGAAACTGTTTTAGCTTGTGGAGGAATGCTGTCCTGACCACAAAAAACAAGCTTAGACACAAAATAGGTCTAAAAAGTCAACGTAAGCACATACTAAAAATAAGCGTTGAGGTTAGAATGCTTGAACCTTAAGAGAGACTGTGCTGAGCAGACATCCCACTTCTGAGTCAGGAAAGAGAAATGAAGTTGTGTGCTTACTGATACCACCTCAATTCCTGTCGTCTGCCTCTGGAACTCTGAGGACTGTGTAGATCTGCAAATTTCAAAATAAGGCTACGTACTGGCAGTGTCCACTTTATGGTACTTCATAGCTCTTCCTTTTTTAAATACAACAGAACTTTTTCATTGAAGTTTGTATGCTTTTTGTTGTTCAGGTGATCTGGTTCTTGTGCTGTCTCAAAGTACAAGCTCTGACCTAATTTCTAGTGTATGAAATGCTGAGATTCATGTGCTTGTATAGTCCTTGTTTTAATTAACAGTTCATTATCTTTTTTTTACCTTACATTTATGAGGTAGGCAGAAAAGTGCCTCTGACACTCTATTTTTGAATTTATTTGTGTTAAATTCCAGAGGAAAGAAAGAATGTGATAAATGAATTATCAGAGATGAGGAAACAGCTTCGTAGTGAAGAGAGGCGACTGCAGGAACAGTTGCTAAATGTGGTCAGTGATGATGATGTACCAATTACACGGTAAGAATTTAATCTTCAGTTTTAAAAGTTAGATTTTGCATGGGAGCTCAAAGCTGCTGTGTATTAGTAGCTAGTATTAGTTGGCTAATATACATGAGTGAAATGAAAATACAAAAATAGAACTTGTATATAATGTTTTCTTAATTTTTTCTAATGTATATGATTTTTTTCCAAGAATCTTGCTGAAGTTTAGTGTAAGAATGGCTCTACCGGTAAGACTGGAAGTTGCAATATTGTGTTTTGGAGAGTGGTCCAAAACAGATGTCTAAGAGTTTTATCTCATTACCTTTTACAAGGAGTCCCATGGAAAAGGTGAGGGGTGATGGGTACAAGTTACTCCTGAAGAGATTCCAATTGGACACGAGGAAAATTTTTTGCAGTGAGAACAGTTAGCCACTGGAATAATTTCCCTAGGGAAGTGGTGGATTCCCCAGCATTGGACACTTTTAAGATTCAGACGGACAGGGTGCTGGGCCCTCTTGTCTAGACCATGCTTTTGCCAAGAAAGTTTGGACCAGAGGATCCTTGAGGTCCCTTCCAACCTGGTATTCTGTGATTCTATGATAATTTGTGCTTGTAAACTGCAGTATTACTGCTGATGAGTATGCTTATGAATAGCACAGTGCTGTGGTTGTACTTTCTTTCTTACTGAAAATCATACCCTTTTTATTTTAAAAATTTGGTTTACCTCCATAATGTATTTGTTAATCATACCAATTAGTTCGAAAAGACTCATCAGATCATCAGTCTTAGTTCCACCTCATAAAGTATGAGGGGTTTTTTTGATTAAGTAGATTGTCCATTTTTATAACACAATATGCAGTGTCATTGTTTTCAAATTTATTTTCCGTTTCAGTAGCTTTGTTTAAGCATGAAAGATGTGAGCTTTATCAATATTTTGTTTCCATCCAACTCATTAATATTACAGTGTTAAATTATATTCTGCTTGTTTTACAAACTTTTCAAGTGGGAGGAGAGAGAAGAATCCAAAGGACATATTTGAGATGGCCAGGCTTCGTCTGCAGGCTCCAGTAAGGCAGCCTTCATCAAAGGAGTCACAAGATCCTGTCAAGATACAGAATATCTGGGATTTTAATGAACTTAAATACAAAGGCAGGTAGATCTTCTTGTTATTGGTGGCGAAAGGTAGTGAAATGTCTGTTTTCCTCCATCTTCCATGCCACGCAGGATTTAAAGACGACAATAAAAACCAGCCTCTTTACAGCTGCTGCCCAACCACAGCACACCCTGTCGACAGCATTTTGTATCTGTGTATATCTCTGTGTGGCCATTTCTACAAGTGCACACAATTCATGGCACTGTAATGCTGGGTTATCGCTCGGAGCACTCATCTAGCTTCCAGTCCTTGCTGCTTAAAATTCTTAAACTTCCTGTGCATTTGCTATTAAGATGCTACCGAAAGTAGAGTGGATTTGATTTTTTTTTTTTTTAACCCACCGACAAAATACAATTCTGTGTAACTTTCTGTTTTTCCTTTACCAGGAAAAATATTTTTAGCATATTAAAATTGTAAAGTCATTGCTGAAGTGGCTCATCCTCTTGGTCATTGTCATAATTATTTTTAATATTTTTATGACTTTGTATCTGTAGCTAGTTCTTTAAAAATGTTTTTCAGAAATGTTAGTTTAGGGAAAAATTTAAATTTCATATCTCTGCTGTAGATTCTGAAACACGTATGGGCTTGAGGCACATGTATCCCGATCCTCCAAAAGATGACCAAACTCTAGAGATTCAACAGCAGGCGCTGTTGAGGGAGCAGCAGAAGAAACTTGACAGAATGAGAATGAGGAGAGAAATAGAAGGTAAGGAATGAACAATCTGAGCTAGTGTACTTGATTTTTATTTGGTTTGTATTTGATAAGAATTAAAACCCACCAGCTCTAGTTTTACTTCTTTCAAGTTCAAGTACAAAACAGTAAAACATCAGGATGCTGAAATTCTATCATAATGTAAAGCATAAACAAATTGACTGCTCTTTTTTTTAATTACTGGGACTGTTTCTCTTTGGTTCCCTGAAAGTAATTTAGCTAGTGCTTCATAATTCAGAAAAATGCAAGGGAAAAGTAGTTTGGTTACTGTTTCTTAAAGAAAACTACAGAACAGTAAAACTCTTCAGCTGATTTGTGATAAAAGCATTAGCAGGCAAGTTCCTTGTGGCATTTCTTCAGTCCTCACTGAGGAAGTAGATGGCTTTGGCTGTGAATTGGTTAAATTGCAGCTGGTGTGTCTTCATCTTGATCTCTTATTAATGGATTAAATGTCTTTTATTTCCATAGTCTTGAGTTGACTATTTCAAAGTTTCAGAAATCTGTATCCATAAACAGGCTTTGCTTTAGAAACCACATGTAAGATAACATAGCCAGTTTGAGAATGAAAATGTTGCTTGCATCGCTTAATAGAGATCATACTAACGTAGTAAAATATTTTAGCTGCATATTGCAAAGCAGTGAAAAGTAAATGTAATGCCCCTTTTTTGCATGCTGCACTTAACTCCAAATGTGGCGTTCATTCAGATATCTTTTATGAACCGTTATGAAAGAGCAGTATCTCAAGTTATTTTAGGTATTATTTAAAAATATCATGAGAGTTGCTTCCACCTTTCCAAAAAGTTACAGTTGCAAATATACAAATTAACTCAGTTTTTTAGTACCAGATACAAATTTCTCAGAAAAGTGTTTGTCTCTGTAATTCAGACTGGCCTAGCTAAATTTTTTAAGAAAAAGTAACTGTATTTCTGTGGTGGGTTAGCCTTGGCTAGCAGCCAGACTCCCATCCAGTTGCTTGCCTGCTTGTGTCCCCCCATTCATGCCCCTTGGTGAGACAGTAGGGGAAAGAGGAAGAAGAAAGGTTATTGGCTGAGGTATAGACAGGGAGTTTGCTTACCAATTGCTGTTGCGGGCAAAACAGACTCGATTTGGCGAAAAGCAGCCTAATTATTATCAATTTAAATAAATAATTACTGATTTTGAGTAGTGGGCAACAAAGACAAACATTGAAACCACACCTTTTCTGCTCCTTCCCTGTGCCCAGCTGCTTTACTCTGACACCCCTGCTCCCGTTCCTTGGTACCACCTCAGGTTGTGCTCAGTTGCTTTGATGCAATAAATGGTATCAGGCCAGGATGGGAGGGAATTATGGTCAGTCCACAGCAGGTTCTGTCTGCTGCTCCTGTCGTCTTGCTCCTTTCCATCTGTTCCACCATGGTTTGCTCCAGAGGCTGCAGGGGAATCGCTGCTCTGGCACCTGTAGCGCCTCTTCCCCCTCCTTCTCTGACCTTGGTGTCTGCAGGGTTGCTTCTCACACTTTTGTCCTCACTCCTCACTGCCATGCTTTGTTTTGCCCTTTCTTAAGTAGTTTTCACAGAGGTACCGCAAGTTTGACTGGTGGGCTCTGCTGTGTCCTGCAGTGGGTCTGTTGTGGTACCAGTTGTGCCTGGCACAGGACAGCCCCTGGCATCTTCTCACTGCAGCCCCTTCCTTGCCACAGACACCCAGTACAATTTCAGATTGCTCCTTAGACGACTTCTAGCCTTAGAGATGAGGTGAAAGTTTAGCATAAAAAATCCAAACACGTATGAAAGGAAAATAGTTGCACCTTTCCATACTGCTTTAGAAAAACAGGATGTCTTTTTTTACCACTGGTTGTGCTTTGAGGCTTGTTTGTATTACCTGTTAATAGACCCATATGTGAGTAACATCAGCAAAGTTGATATCAAGATGTGAAGGGTGACAGTTACTTGCAGGGTGTTTTGTTTGGTATCCTGCTGAGTGTTAAAGATGATTCCTATTCCATGTTGGACAGGTGTGCTGGTGTTCAAGCAATGTGTGCAATATTGCTTATGGATAACATAACATCGGAGTTGCAAATAAGCACATCTGTACCACTTCTGTGTTAATTACAAGCTCTTGAATATAAGTGAGTGCCTAAATGGAATGTGAGGTTGATGGAAAAGGTGAAAAATAATTCGCTATCTTCAGCTGAGATCTGTGTGGGGTTTGGTTTTGTTTTTCTGCCATTAGAATATTTTTTTTTTTTTAATCAGCCAGTCTGAGAAGGCTTTAATTTAGTGTTGTCTGGAGAGGAACCTTCATCATCTAGAAAGCATATTTGCCTTTTTCATTGATTTTTAAGGCCAAGCAGTCATTTTAGACATATGCTAGTGCTAAATAGATAATGCAGGCTTACATGGTGACACCTAAAGAGGCATTTCGTTGGACAATTTAGGTTAGTTGGTAGACAAGCAGCTGATTTTTAAAACAGTTTTCCACTGATGCTTATAGAGGATCCTTAAGCGGCTTTTCCTCTCTTTCTCCCTCCTACTGCTTTACAACATAATTTAACTCTATAGTCTGTCACTGTGTACTGAGCAAGAGAGTTAATTAGTTGCCATATATCTCTCTCTTTCCAGTTTATTTTCGTCAGTGGCAGGTTCATCATCTTCCCCTCACTGAAAATAGATAGGTTGTTTTTATTGACTGATTTAACGCAAAAGAAAAATGAATTAAAGCAATATGTATTTTTGGACTGTGGACAAAATGTTGTATTATAGGCTGTTGTGGCAAAGGCTAACCTGTTTGCCCACACTATATGTAAGTGTTCTTTACCTTACATGCTTTATATACTGTTTAAAATATATCTGATATTGTTTTTCTTTCTTCTTTTTCCCCTCTTTATATAAAAGAGAAGTATGTGAACCATTAGTGGAACAATAACCTGAGAAATTTGGGTTGGACTAGATGGCCTTTAAAGGCGCCTTCCAACCCAAACTATTCTGTGATTCTATGAAATTAATGATGTTTTAAAGTGTCCCAAATTTTTTTTAATGCTTGCGGTGTCCCTGCAAGTAAGGCATTCTTTTGCAGACTTATGGATGATTGTTATTTTGGGGGATAGGAGGGAAAGGCACAGGAGCAGGTTTGATGTGGTTGTGCTGTGGTGCGGGGCTCTTCTTGACTGGAGTAGCACATTGGGAACAGGCTTGCTGTCACTCCAGGAGAGTGACAGCCCATGGGCTGTGTTTTTTAATGCTAGACAGAGTGTCAGCATGTAGCTAGTTTGCTAGACAGAGATGCAAGAAATAAAAAATGCCTTCAAATAAAATATTTAATAAGATGAACCAAATAAGAAGCAAAACTTCAGTTTTGCTTCTTTGTATTTCCAGCTTGCATGAGGTCAATCATTAGATTAAGGATGGTTCTGTGCTCTCAGGAGCTGAGGTTTTATCCTTAGTCAGGTACTTTCCTCTGTGAAATGATTGTTGTCTAGTTCAACCTCTCTTTGAAAGGTGCAAACACCATGTGCTCAGCATGTTGAGTGTACGTTCACTCTTGGGGCTTTCTGCAGTCTCCTGCTCTGATTGTTACACTCTGATAGAAGCCAAGAGAACTGATCTCGTCTAATGCAGTTTGTGACACAGTGTACTTCTTGCTAGTCAGATTGGTTGTTGAGATGTCCCACCTAGGGGAGAACATCATTAGTCTTGAGTTCTGTTGATAAAAATATGACTGTTTAGCTACTCAAAATGCCTATTCCTGGGAAGCAGATATCTGGAATATAGAATAAGTGTTTTTTGAGTATCCATGAGCTTTAACCACAAAACTGTTGTAGTGTTTAGCTTCACTATAAAGGAGACTCCTGACTCCCTTGGTCTAGCTCTTGATAGACCACTAAAAATAATGGCAAAATACAAACTGGAGTCAGGAAATACGTGGTTCAGGTGATCCCTCATTATGGAAGAAATAATTCATCTTTGGTTCTCTAATTTTTGAAATTTGATACAGTATTGGTTTGTTTTTCTACTTGGTTCATAGCAAGTTTAAACAAAAACTGATAAATTAGAGAGATTTCTCTCCATTATCGGGTTTTTTGTGTCCTAGCTGTGAAGTTCAGATGGAACTTAAAATTAGCACTAGCAATGATGGGGATGTTGAATACAATTAACTTTCCTTTTTTTTTTTTAATTCACAGGTTTTTTTAATATAAGAAAAATCTGATGTATAAAATTTAATATGTGAAGGTGATGGCAAGAAAATTAAAACACAAATGCTAGGTGTCTTGGTTTGAAAGACAGGTGTCT